CACACACACACACACAGCAGTTGTCCATCTGTGAAAATTGTCTGAGCTGGAATCTCGCCTAACATACATCAACTCCAGCACCAAATACAAGCAGACGGGTTGTAATAGAACCTGCATGTGTGTGTGTGTGTGTGTGTGTGTGTGTGTGTGTAGCTACGGAACCATATTTTGAGGACAAATTTGTACTCGGAAGTGAGCTGAATCCTCATTTTGGGAACGTCCTCATTTGTAAAAATAGTACAAATATAATATAAATAATGATTGTTTGTTTGTTTAATCGTGAAATAATCAATGTAATCCATTTAATTTATATTTATACAGTTGCATGCCCAGTCTATTATCTGCTATTTGTGTTGAATTTAAAACTTTGACTCCTATTTTAATAATGTTATTGCTATTTAAAACTTTGACTTTTCATAACTTTTTGAAGTATTAAAATAAGCAATCAGTAATCATCCGGTTATTGTAAGTCATCACAATATGCATACGATGATATGTACATTTGCGATATTTCAAAAATGTCAATATCGCACAGCCATATGAGCTGTATATAAAACCATAAAAGTAGGGCTGCACGATATTGGAAAAAATTCACATTGCGATATTTTTTTTCTTTCTGCGATATATATTGCAATGTGAAAGAAAAAAAAAATCACCACATGACTTGAATAGTTTATTTGAGAAAAAAATAAGCAATGATTGGGGTGTTTTTGTTGGCGTGTAAATCAGCAGAGGAAATAAAATTACGAGCATAGATAAATATAACAGAACAAAGATACAAATGAAATAAGCAGTGCTTTATATTTTTTCAGGTAAGTCTAACAGTATTAAAATACAGAAATATAATAATCAAATGTAAAATAACACTGCCTAGTCTTCACTGTATACATTACATCTAATAAATCTGTGTTAAAGCTACAAAAGTGATTTTTCTTTGTTTTGTTGTTTGATTAACATCCATGATACAGAAAGCCTCAGGAACACTAAACTGCTGTAAACCAATATACTGCCACACACATCCATTTTCTTTCTCAATTGTTTCCCTTCACCTAAGCCATAAACATCTGTGATCTGTGTTTACAAAGATAATTGCAGAGCACAGTATTTCAGGCACAAATAGATGCAGAAGTGAACATAATTCAGTGTTCACGTGCATTTGCGTGGCTCTCACTGTGTCTACACCAGATGCAAGTGGCGCAGCGCAAAGCGATAAAATACAATGAACCCATTATAATCAGTGATACTGTCTACACTGGATGCGGCGCGACGCGTGGGAAAAAGCCAGCCGCGCCACTTTCTCCTTTCTCAGCACTGAAAATCGCGTGCAGTAGCTCTGCTACTAAATGCATTTAAAATGGGTATCTCCGTACAGCTGTCACGTCCGGTGTACGGACATCGCGATATCGATGCTGAAACAATATATCGTGCAGCCCTACATAAAAGTATATATAGATGGTCCTCAAGCCTCGCCCTAGAGTTTACGACACAGAGAAACGAAACCCGGCCAAAAAGAGGAAGTAATCTCGCTAAAGAGAAATTCATCTTACTCCAAAAACACCCGTTAACCTTGTAGGCCTAATTGCAAACAATTAGGCTACATTAATATATGGAATTTATATGTATATTAAAATACTGGTAAATATAAACAGCCTATTTAGTTCCCCTGACTCTACAACAAATATTTTAAATCTAACGGTATTCAGAACAGAACAAGAATGAAAAATAAGTAGTTATAAAATTATATTTTGTCTCATACCACAAGAATCCAAATGTATCCATTTTTGCCATATTTGTAACATTTGTTTTCATAACTATTATTCATTATGTAGCCTAAACATGGCTTTATACTTCACTCATGTTCTAATATCCATGTAAAATCCTTCACATG